CTGGAAGAGGAGATGCAATCTATACTTGAACATTGTCACTCATCTCCCTATGGTGCCACTATGCTGGAGTCAGAACAGCAGCAAAGGTGCTGCAATCAGGTTTTTACTGGCCCACTTTATTTAAAGACTCACATACTTTTGTTTCAAGTTGTGATAGGTGCCAAAGAACTGGAAATATATCAAAGAGACATGAAATGCCTCTCAACCCTATCTTGGAAGTTGAACTATTTGATGTTTGGGGGCTGGACTTCATGGGACCATTCCCACCTTCATTTAGAAATCAATATATTTTGGTGGCAGTGGACTACGTCTCTAAATGGGTAGAAGCCGCAACATTACCCACTAATGACTCCAAAGTGGTTTGGAAGTTCCTTAAAAATAATATCTTCACACGGTTTGGCGCACCAAGAGCAATCACAAGTGATGAAGGAAGTCATTTCTGCAGCAAGCAATTTGAACATCTTCTGGCCAAATATGGAGTAAAGCACAAGATTGCTACAACATACCCTCAAACCAGTGGGCAAGTTGAAGTGTCCAATAGAGAAATCAAGAGGATCTTGGAGAAGGTGGTAAATCCTTCAAGGAATAACTGGTCATTCAGATTGGATGACTCACTATGGGCATATAGAACTGCTTACAAGACAGCATTAGGTGCATCTCCATACAGAATTGTCTATGGCAAAGTATGCCACTCACCTGTTGAGTTAGAGCATAAAGCATACTGAGCGATATCAAAGCTGAATCTGGATGAACAAGCAGCTGGACAGAAGAGAATGCTACAGCTAAATGAACTGGAAGAATTCAGAATGAATGCATATGAAAATGCCAAACTTTACAAGGAAAATATGAAGAAATGGCATGATAACAAGATCCTTCCAAGGGTATTTGAGCAAGGTCAACAAGTCCTTCTATTTAACTCAAGGCTCAAGCTCTTTCCAGGCAAGCTAAAATCGAGGTGGACAGGACCTTTTAAGGTTGCACATGTGTATCCCCATGGAGCTATTGAAATTATGAATGAAAAAGATGGGACCACGTTTAAGGTTAATGGACAAAGGCTGAAGCACTATTGGGGAGATCAAAATGTCAAGGAGACAACCATTATCTCCTTGACTGAGCCGAGTTGAATCCAAAGAAGAAGTCAGGCTGAAGACTATAACACAAGCGCTTTTGGGAGGTAGCCCAAAATTTAATTAGGAAGTTTTTAATTTAAATGAATTTTAATTTCAGTATTTTAAATTATTGCAATTTTAAATTTCGTATTTTTCAATTGTTAGAATTAGGATAAATTAGTTTCATGTTCTTTTTAATTTTTAATTTTCTTTTTAAGATGTTTTGCAGGGAGGAAAATGGTGTTGATTATAACACCTCACATTTCTAAATTAAATATTTAAAATATTAAGTGAGTATTTAAGTGAAGGATTAGTGAAAATCCTGAAGATTAGGCCAAAATACAAAGAAAGGGCAAAATGGTAATTAGCCATGCACACAACCCTAGGAAGATAAAAATTGAGTAGAAGGTCTCAGATGATAAAAATTATTAGCTAGGCCTCGGCCTTGAGCTCAGCCCAACGAAGGGCTTCAAGTTTAAAAGCTCGGTCTTAGCCTTGAGCTCCAACTCAGCCCAGTGAAAGAGCTTTAAAATTAAAAGCTCGGGCTCAGCCTTGAGCTTCAACTCAGCCCAACAAAGGGCTTCAAAATTCATTAGCTCGGCCTCGGCCTTGAGCTCAGCCCAACGAAGGGCTTCAAGTTTAAAAGCTCGGCCTCATCCTTGAGCTTCAACTCAGCCCGACAAATGGCTTCAAAATTATTAGCTCGGCCTCGGCCTTGAGCTCAGCCCAACGAAGGGCTTCAAATTTATTAGCTCGGCCTCAGCCTTGAGCTCAGGCCAACGGAGGGCTTCAAGATTAAAAGCTCAGCATCAGCCTTGAGCTTCAACTCAGCCCAACTAAGGGCTTTAAATTTATTAGCTCGGCCTCGGCCTTGAGCTCAGCCCAACTAAGGGCTTCAAATTTATTAGCTCGGCCTCGGCTTTGAGCTCAGCCCAATGAAGGGCTTCAAGTTTAAAAGCTCAGCCTTAGCCTTGAGCTCCAACTCAGTCTAGTGAAGGGCTTTAAATTCATTAAAAGCTAGGCCTCAGCCTTGAGCTTCAACTCAGCCTAAGCCATAGTTTCAGGCTCCGAGATCAAAATGAAGACAGAAAAGGAGAGATACGATCTTAAGAAAAGTATCACACCCCAATCTGAGATAAAAATGAAGATGAAATTGGAGAGTTGTGATCCTAGCTAAAGGATTACACCCCGATCCAAAAAAAGAAGAAGAAGAAAGATAGAATTGGAGAGATGTGATTCTATGAAAAAGGATCACACCCAAATCCGAGAAGACGAATTTGGAGAGATCGTGATCGTAGAAAAGGATCACACCCCAATTTAAGATAAAAGACAAATCGAGGCGGTATGCGAAGCCGGGCTCAAACAAAATATGGCAAAAAGTCTAGAAAAGCCACGGTACGTTAAGCCGGGCTAAAATCAGAAAGGAAAATATACTGCCTTCAAAAGTGTAGGCAAGGCAAAAACCAAGTCAATTTAAAGAAAGCTATGGTATAAGAAGCCGAGCTCAAAGTCAAAAAAAGGCAAACACCACCTCACCACTCAGAGACTTCAAGAGAAAAGAAGCCAATATAAAAAGCTAAACAAAGAAGAGGTAGTCGCACCAGACCCAAGGCAGGATGATAGTACCTCCGTAGGGTCGACCTATCAATCAAACTTAGGCACCCCAGCAGTCCGAGCTTTCGAACTTCCGGGCTGGGGGGCAACTGTTATGGAATATTTCCATATCCTAACCACCTACCCAAGGATCCCTTAAAGGATAACTACCCAATTATCCTAACAATATAAAACAGTAAGGCTGCTAAGGATAGAGTCCCTATCCCAACAGAAAGGAAGTTAAATCCTACAACAACTGGGAGATTTTACACAAGCCCAAGAGGTAATCCTTATAAATATGAGGTTAAAGACCCCAGGTACATACACTTTAACCTATTTACTAATACTGTCAACACTGTGCACACACCCACGTCTTGGCTATAAGCCTATTGCTTGTGCGCATTGATTGAGACATCGTCTATAAGCTAAGTATAAATCATCAGTTTATACAGTATCTCTGAGCGCATACCATACGGTATAGCAATACGGTCTTTCTAGGACCGAACATAGTGTAAGTTTCCTTTTGTAGGCCATGAACATAAAAGAGGGAAAAATTAAAAAAACTTATGCGGAAGAAGCAACCTTTGCCCACCCTCAATCATGTTTAACCCATGAATCATGCAATAGACATGTTAGGGTTTAAAGTAGATACCTTTATTAGGATTATTATTCCTGATCAAATGCGTTCTTGATCAATTCTTCAGACTTGAAGAACACAAGTCCTCCGATGGAAATCCACACCACCTTGTTGTCTTGTAAGAGAAGAACACTTCTTCGAATGCCCAATCTCCTTCAATGGAGGTTGCTAGACTCAAGAGAAGAATAAAGATTGGGTAGTGCCTTTGGTTATTCCAAGAGAGAGATAGCCGCCACACTGATGTGTGTGTTGGCTAAGGTTTTAGTGGAGAAAATAATAGAAGAAGAAGAGATACAAAACTAAGGAAGAAGAGGGGCTATATATAGATGTGGTGACTCATTAAACTAAGACTAGGTCAAATCAGCGCCCTCATCAAATCCCAATCTTATTGGGTAATTTCCTTAATTTTATCCAATCAATCCAATTTATTGGTTTCCCCAATTTCAGCCAATTAATTTAATTAATTGGTTTCCTTAATTTTATCCAATCAATCCAATTGATTGGTTTTCCAAATTTCAGCCAATTAATATAATTAATTGGTTTATTTTAATTTCGGTCAATCAATCCAATTGATTTGTTTCTTCAATTTTAGCCAATTAATTTAATTAATTGGTTTCCTTAATTTTGGTTAATCAATCCAATTGATTTTTTTCCAATCAATCTAATTGATTGGTTTCCTTTATTTTGGTCAATCAAGCCAACTGATTTGTTTCTAATCAATCTAATTGATTGGTTTCCTTTATTTTCTCCATCTTCAATAAATCTAATTTAATGACTATATTTAAATTCCAATTTCAAATTCGAAATTCGAAATTAGAATTTAAATTAATTTTATTTAAATTCAAATTTCAAATTCAAAATTCAAAATTTAGAATTCAATTTAATTTTATTAATTTAACATTTAAATTAATTAGGTTACATCATGGATCAAGTCCAACATGACCCATGATGCCACCTACTCTCTCTTGGCCCAATATGTGGGCTTTTCCAACTTAGGCCCATTATGCCTTATTGGGCCCAAAACACAAATGCTAGAATTCAAGACAACTTAAGGTGTTTATGTGCGACCCATCAGGCCCAACATAACCACTGACATAAATGGGCTTGGGCCCATTAGGCCCAATCCATATAATGACAACGCAAAGCAATAACAATGCTTTGTTGTCCCAGAGCTAGTTGAGTTCATCAAATGGTTAACCGTTATACCTATTTGGTTACAGTGTGAATTATCCTTTCGTCTCGGTTATCCATCCCATTGACCTAGGTCAAGGAAAACGTATCAACTCCTGCGGTCTAGGGTTAGCTTTTGCCGAAACAGGGAATCTTCATTTACGGACTCTAAAGAACAGGCCATCTCATGACTCCTTTACTATGCATAGATTCCCGAGTCCCGTAAATGTCATCCCGATTTCACCGGTCCACGGATAACCTAATCTCTCACAGAGATTGTCGAATTCCTTTAGCTTGTCACACTAGCCCTGAGTCCTTAGGGCATGCCCAAGAGTATACCTACGAGTCTCCATGTTTCAGGCCGACAAGATATACAATCAAAGCAAGCCTTCCAGAGCACAGGTCTATACGACAACGTCAGGTTTAGAGAAAGACACACCCAAATAATAAGAGACATTACCTATTGATACAATCTGTGAGATTTTCTTGTAGTGTCTCTTTGTGGGTCAGTTCAGTGCGAGCCCCTTGAACCTTTCCCATGCTTCATGTAAAGATTCATTCTCCTTTTGTTCAAAAGAAGTGATATCCGCTTTGAGCTTTGCCATCTTTGAAGATGAGAAAAATCGAGCTAAGAACTTGGTCGCCAAGTCATTCCAGTTGGTGATGCTTCCTTGAGGCAATGACCGCAACCAATCTCTTACTTCTTCTTTAAGTGAACATGGGAAGAGCCTGAGTAAGATGGCGTCACGAGAGACTCCATTCATCTTCAACGTGTCATAGAAAAGCAGAAAATTTTCAAGATAAATGCAGGGGTCTTCTGTGCTTCCTTCGGCAAACTGATCTTTTTAAATCAGTTTCAACAATGAGGGCTTGAGCTCAAAATTGTTAGCATCCACGTTTGGTCTAACAATACTCGTCGTCTGCGAAACTCGAGCTGGAGTTATGAAATCTCATAAGGTTCTTGGAATATTCTGAATTCGATCATTGTCAGCCATGGCTTCTTCCTTAGGTTCCGTCGAGCTTGAAGCTTCTTTTTCTTTTCTTTCTATTGAACTTTTTCTGAGCCTTCTAGTTGTCCTCTCAATCACTGGGTCGAATTGCAAGGATTTTGGATCAACAACACCTCGCATAAACCAGAAAATAGAATAATTCAATAAAAACTAAATAAATGAAAAAAATAAACAAAAATAAATAACAAAAAATTAAAAATAATAAATAAATAAATAAACAAAACAAATAATAATAATAATAATAAAATAAATTATATAAATATAGAAAATTTAAATTGCAGAAAAATAAAAAGCCCAATCTAGATTGCTTTTAGCTTCTTCTAATGTTGAAGGATCCAATCGCCGGTAACGGCGCCAAAAACTTGTTGCGCTTGGGCAAGTGCACTGGTCGTAAAAGTAATAAAAGTGTACTGAGTAGTAGATCGTTCCTACGAGCATTGGTTTTCATGCACTTGTTCGCTAACAACAATTTAGTTGGACAATTGAATTTGAGATGAAAAAAATTGAAATTAAAAACAAGCAATAACATGTAATTTCAGAATTTAAAGCAAACGAAGGAAAAAAATTTGGTTTTGAAAATCAAGAAAGAACGTAGTTAAGGTTTTGATTTCCCCCAATATCCTTCTTATTCCATGGATTAAACAATCAAATAAATGCCCTTAATATAATACCAATCGATTCCTCTAAAGTAATTAAGGTTCAATCCCTTGTTACCTTAATTCTATATAATCTTGAAAGAATCCTAGTTCCACGGTTGTTCCCCTAGATAACTACATTAACAACAAGAATCTAAAGATTACATAATTACCCTATGTCTATCCCTAGATCACAAGGATTATGATGAATTTATCAAATCAGGGTTCATGCACCAATATCCCTATTGTCATACAATTCCCCTAAATCAATCTACAAGGAGCAACCTCATAGAGAGCATTAGACATAGATAAATTCATTCAATTATAAAAAAGGAAAATTACAGAGACAATTTAATCCATAAACATAATAATTCAATTGGGTTCTATCTACCCTTAACTACATCAAAATTTAGCCTAACATAGCAAAATAAAAAACAAGAGAAAGTAAAGAAATTCCCCCAAACTCCATTGGTGTGGCGTGAAGAATCCTCAAAACTCCCAGCTTGTACTTGAATTAAAACCGCTCTCGATGCTCCAAAGCATGAAAGACGCGCTTCTCTCTCCAAAGTAGGATTTGCTCTTCCCAATTGTTCAAAAGCTCTCCTTCTTGAATATGCCAACCCCTTTTAAAGGAAACAATTTCCTAAAAAATATTCAAGAGAATCTTCAATAAGATCTCCAATCAATTATATGATTCAGAAATTCAAAACAAATCCACTTGAGCTCTCCAATATATCTTTTTATTGAGCTGAAAATTACTGCAAAATATAAGAATTTTTATTAGAATATTTCCGAGAATAAAATAACACTTTAATTATAATTCTCATAACTTTTAATTAATTTTAAATCAATTTCATGCTCATATTAAGCCTTAATACATAATAAATTGGAGACTCGTCACCACCATCTTTCTTCTTGGTTGAAAGCCATTTTCCACACTTGGGAGCTACAAGGAACCAAACTTGAAGAGCAATAACCCTTTTGGCCAAGCTAAATTTGTGCACCTAGTAGAGCAGAACCAAAGGGTGGCTTTGTGACCTTGGAAGCACTTCATTTCTCTATTTTTGGAGCTTGGGTACCTTCTACACCCTTTCTTTCTTAAGTTTTCATAGCAAGAAGTAACCTTTAAGCATGTAACAAGAGAAAGCTAGGTAACCTAAGTTTAAACTAGTAAGAACACACTTAAAGATGCATGCTTGGTGTAAGAACCTGCACCGTTAATTAAGGAAGTTAATTAATTAATTATGTGAAATTAGGAAATAATTCCATAATTGACCCTAATAATTATTATGAGCTTTAATAATTATAGTAAGTGAGTATTAATGCTGAAAGTCGATTTTCTCACGAAAAGTGCAGATACCGGTTCTGCTACTCGATATAAATGCATACCGATGAAGTATCTCTGAAAATTATAATAAGTGCATGAATATTCTTAGAATAATATGTAGGACTTGTAAAACAAGTTTCAAGTCAAAATAATGAGAACTGGTTCCAGAACTGATACTGCCTAGAAAAAGCGCGTACCGAAAAGGTGCTGCAAAAAATAAAATAAAAATATGACAAATATTAGAAAAATGAGTAGGTTCAGATTCCAAAGTTTGGGATCAAAATACTAAGTGTAGCTATTAACGCTAATACAGTGTGATTAAGGCTTAAGTGGGCTATATATACAACTTTTGGGCCCAAAACCCTAGGCAACTCAGTTACTACACATAGAGGGGAGGCTGACCAGCTTCTTTTGACACTGCTCCATTGCTCCCTCAACCATTTGTGAGAATTGTGGCCTCTTTTGCTTCATTTCTTCATCCTAAACACCTTGTAAGAGTGAGGGATAGCTTTGAGGGTGAGCGGAGGGCCTTGTGCTGAGTTCTTAGCCTCTGGTTTGGTGCTGCTAAGGGCTGTTTTCTAAGTTTAGGTGAGAGGGTTCATCTTCTTGGCTTGTGGAGCTCCAAGGAGCTTTCTTTGTAAAGAAAGAACCAACCTTGATCATCATTTTCGTGCACTTAGTAGTCAGCACTTTGGAGCTGGAGTATGAGCTCAAAGAACACCCATAGCTACTATCTTGAACCTTGGGTAAGTGTCACCACCTTTGATCATGAGTTTTAATGGGTAAAGGAGATGTCTTGGCATGTTTAATGAATTAAACAAGTAACTGACACGAGCTGTCGAACTCGCGCAAATTAAAAATTAATTCTTTAGGGTTCAAAAAATTTGTAGTAGAGTGAAAACCCTAAGTCATCTCTCTCAAGGAAATTGCTTGGGTAAAAATCGTTTATGATGACAGAAAATAAAAGGGGGGTTTGTTTTGATTTCAGTTTAATAATTTAAAAAGGAAGAAGATAAAATTGGATGTAAAATTTGTAATTAAAGACAACCAACCTAAGGTTTGGGATCCATGGACGTCTTTCCTCGGATAAGAAGATATCAGAATCGTGATTGATTTGTCAATCGGATCAGTATCCTTATTTCCAATTGACAACCCTCTCTAAGCGATCGCTTAGCATTTGATCAAAGACGATGCTTCTACTCATGCAATCGCAGAGTATCAGCCCGCTTGATTTAAGGTCATAGGGTCAATCAACCTAATCATCAAATCTGATGATTAATCCCTTTCCATAATCGCAATCGCGAACCTCAGATTGAATATCCACGATCGTACGATATCAATCTGAGTTGGGAAGGGAAACAAAACTGATTTGAAATAAACACAGATCCTCAAGACCAATCCATGGAATCCATTACCCTTAGGTTGATTAAAAGGTTCTTAGCCTCGCATGGCTAAGGTAAACATAAAAAGAAGAGAAAGAAAAAGATGAAGAACAGAATTGAATAAAAACTCAGAGAGAACTTTTCTGTTGTACCAAACTGACTCCAAAGGGTTTCCTAGAGTCTTCCTTAAATAGCCATCACGCAGGACGGCTAGGGTTTCACCGCTTCAGCCCAAACCTAAAATAAAATCTGAATAAAATAAAATAAAACAATAAAACATGGCCTTGGGCCCTAAACATATTGGGTCCTATTGTGAAAAAAAACGTCAAAATAAAATTCCAGCAAAACACGTCATCTTGGGATTAAATTTTCACCATCTTCCCGTCTGAATTGGGCTTCAGTAGCTGAAATAGCGATTGTATCCCTATCTGTTAGCTGCAAAACGCAACAAGAACGGATTCAATCGGAAATCTGTAGAGTGAGATATGGTCAAAATACGGAAGTAGTGTAAATCTGGAAAATTATGACGAAAATCAATTAAACCCAATTAAAATCTAGAATTGTGAATTGACCCAAAAGACCTTTATTTAATTCAAATAAATCATAAAAATACCAACCAAGAGTAATAAATAAGTGTAACAAAATATGAGTTATCAGTAACCACCCTGTATATGAACCTAAAGAAGTGTAAAAATGCATGCTTGGACGTTGAAATAGGTTAAAAACCCAACCTTTAGAAGGATATCTGTAACATCCCGTGAATTTAGGAAGTTATATAAACTTGAGTTGGGAACATGGAAGCGGTCTCAAACTCGGATTATAAGTATAGTTAGGGTGGACCTAAATTAAATCATGAAAAAATTATGTTAATTATAACATTGTGTGAGAAGGTGTTTTAGGAAATTGGAATGTTAGTTATAAGTATGTGATTAATCTTATAAACCCATTAGTTAATAATTAGGGGGTACATAAAATAATAAGGCATGGGTTGGTTCTCAAGATAGGAAAGCCTTTGAACTTAAACTTTAGAACCCATTTCTTCCCATGGCCGACGGCCCATGAGTCCTAAGTGGGACTTAGGTTCAGCTTTCATCACTTAGTGATCCTTCCACCTTATCTTAGAAAAAATTACAAGGCTGTCCATCTTTGGTTTAGGAGCTCCAGATGGCAAGCTCATTTCCCTTGTAATCCCTTGTTATGCGCATAGGTTGGTAGGAAAATTCTAATTGCTTGTAATTCTATGCA